TAGTCAATTAGCAGTTTAACTAAGCAAAAATGCTATGAATGTCCTTCAAATAAATTTTAATATTTAAAGAAATAAAAAAGACATTTATTTCGAAAAACAGAAAAACTAATTTAATTAAACCACTTCATGAAAGGACACTGACTCTCCAAAATATAGTTAGCCTTGCATAAGTATTATTTATATTTTAAGGCTTTTTTGGAAGCTTAATTATTTTATTAAATGAAAATTAATATTTCAATACATTCAATTTTTCTAACTGCAGTCTTCATTTTTCAAAAATTTCAGGAAGCTTAATTATTTCATTAAATGAAATTAATATCTCAGTACTTTTCATTTTAATTGCATTATTAATTTAGAAATTTTATATTGATTTTATTATATTTAAATTAAATTTTCAATTTATTTTTGTAGCATTCTAAAGAATGAAAATGAGCTAAATTACTTTTTGAAAATTGGTTTTCTGCAATTCCCTTATTTACATTTGTATCGTATCAAATTTTACAAATACATTTCCACCATAATAAAAAAATGACATTAAACTGAAGCTTCACGAGATGACACCCACAACATAATAGTTTTAAAAAAATGTCACTATCAAAGCTATATGAAGATTATCTCTCATTTGAAACCAAGCATCCTCTTTCTTCCTTTCTAGCTGAAATGTCTTATTTACTTCAAAACGTTTTCAAGTGAAGCAATGGTGTCAATTAAATTATGCTGCCATCAGTCTACCAACCACACATTTACACACGAGATTATAATTTTAACCATACATGAGCAAAATAAACATTGTAAACAAAATAAGGACTCATATACAATACCAGGTATAATTCATAAAGCTAGTTATGAGCGCATGCTAGTTACAGCACAGACCCACACACCTCACACAATTGCAGAACTGCTCATTTTACATGGAAAATGCTCAGTCTACATGGAAATTCTCAGCATTTTCCAAAGGCAAGGGAAAAGGTGCCACTTTTGAATAATATTGTTGTTGTTGTTGTTATGTGCTGTCGAGTCAGACCCGACTCATAGCGACCCCTCCTTGGGTTTCCGAGGCAGTATCACTACGGAAGTAGGATTGCCCAACCTTCCTTCCGAGGAGTGGCTGGTGGTAGGCATATAAAGACATGTCAACTGACATGAAGACAACGCTAATACAGAAAATGATGAAATCATGTGTATCATTGATTAACTAATCTACCATTTGTAAGTGTGCCCTTTTAAACTCTGAAGAGAAATGCTTATTTTCTCTGTGAAACAGCAAACTAGTAAACAGAACAGAAATCTGACTCCCATTGTTAGGACAGAGATACTTCCTAAGTTAGGTGCTGATATCACAGAGGTAAACAGAAGCATTTCTAAATTCTGAAATTCGATGAATATGTGAATAATTTTACAAAGAGTATATCAGAAATTTGTCTGTAGGTCTGAATTCCACATTAAATGGTATTATCAAAAGATGACTCAAAATCCTAGCTCTGACAGTCCTTTCTGTTTTACACTTTATGTGACAAAATGCAATCTGAATATTGCTGTTTTACACCAAAGTGCACTGTCTACAGGCAAAATTTCATCAAGGGTGTGTGTGGTGGTTATGTTTGTGTGTCAACTTGGCTGGGCCTGGTTGAGTGGCTGGGCAGCTGGATGTAGTATTCCCCGTGGTGAGATTGGTCATTAACTCCATGGTGGAGTCTATTGGAGCAGCTGAGTATCTACTTTGGTATGTGGTCTGCTTCCCACATATAAGCAGCAGCTTTGGGAACAGTCTCTAGCTTATGGCATGCTTGAACCCTGCATGTGGCCGTGTTATTGTTCAGCAGCCTGCCATGCTGTGCCGACCTTGGGACTTTCAATGGACTTGAATTAAGGGCCTGTTGCGTGGTTTGGTAACATTGGGACTGTGCCTTTTTACTTTCTCAGCAGTCAGTAGCTGTCTGAGTGAAGAAAAGCCTCTAGCTCCAGTGGGCTGGGAACAGGAGGCAGAGCTGAACCCCAAAGTTGAGGGGCTTTCACCCAAGCCCTAGAGACTGGCCCTTTGAACATGGACTTAACACCTCCAAATTGCAAGAATAAACTCCTGTATGTTCAAGCCAACCCATTTGTGGTATATTCCTGTCAGAGTGACAATAGATAACCAGAACAGTGCATCAAGAGCTAAAATTGAAATTGAAGAAAATTTTCAGGAACTTTCTCTCTGCAAATTGTTGAAAAATAGTCATTGGCTTGCTTCAGTTACATTCCAAAGCAGCTGAATGAACTTAATGAAAAATTGCAGGAACCATGTGAAAAATGCATTAACGTTTACAAGTAAAGTTTACAGAGTAAGTGTTAGGAAAGTATAGAACGGCTCACCAGTGATGTATAATGTTGTGTTGTTAGGTGCCATAGAGTCAGTTCCAGCCCATTAGTGACCCCATTACAACAGAATGAACCACTGCTGGTCCGGTGCCAGCCTCACAACTGTTCCTGTGCTTGAGCCCATTGCTGTAGCCACTGTGTCCATCCTTCTTGTTGAGGGTCTTCTCTGTCTTTGCTGACCATCACTTTGCCAAGCATGATATCCTTCTCCAGGGACTTGTCCATCTGACAACATGACCAAAGTACAAGTGACGACGCATTCCTGCTGCATTTCCTCCAAGACAGATTTGTTCGTTCTTCTGTGTGACAGATACTGTAATTTAAATCCTAAAGAATCATTAAGTTTAGAGGAACAACATCTATGTATGCTAGATGAAAGCTTTATCGTTACTTTAGGGTGTCTGCTATGAAAAGCAGTGTGAATGGGTTAAAAACCCATTTGCTTTATCGCAAGGAATGACAATTTTACATTTGCTAATGAAAGAAAGGAAAAGCTACTAGATTTCAGAAGTGACTGCCTCATGAACTACAAATGTAAAGAAATCAGGTCACCTAATGGCAGAGAAGTCAGGGGGAGAAGAGAAACACCTGCCATTTTCCCATCCCCTACTGGTGGAATTTCTCCTTGGTGGAAGAAAGCACCAAGAGACAAAAAGATCACATTAGAAGACCTCATCAGCAATTGTGGGTACTGAAAATCATAGTCACAAAAGTACACTCAAATGCCTCAGTAAAAATTTAAAAATATTTTATTTGGAAGTTTTATACAAATTTAATATTTATTTTTCCTATTACTTGGTAGTTTTATTGCAATTATATCATACAAAGAAAGCATCACAAGTGTTTTTAGCAATATTCATGTAAGATCACCCCAAAACCCTTTGAAGTTACCCCAGTGTGTCATATAGGTAATATTCATTTCTACATGTGG